TTCTGTTACATGCTAGAGCGACAGCCATTGCTTATTATGACGAGAAACCTCCAAAAAGAATCAGATAGAGTGCTGAAAATGTGTCAAGTGAGATGCACCTATATCTTCCGCAAGTGATTCAGAAAAAACAACCAGGGTTGAGGGGCTTGAAAAATTCAGATAACCTGCCATCCTTCTCCTGAGAAAGCCAATGGCTAACATGAACCGAGAGATAGCGTGATATGTAGCATGTTGTTTTCCTTGACTTCTCATTTATTTTATTTGCAGTTTCTTACGAGAGCAACTTTTGCCAGCCTATAGAGCATTTGGATCTCGACTGCGTATACAATATCATCCATTCGGCTTGACAAAATACACAAAATGCGAGTGGGGAGGCCGACACATAGAGTAAGTGAACGATCGTTTAATAAAATGTGCACCTGAATGTCGAGTTTGGGTGAAGCTGCCATGCGCGGCACGACTCATAAGTGGGAACTGTCGCCTTCTGTACAGCTGGGTCTTGAAAAACCGTCCCGAGCCACCAGCCGAGAGTTCTATGCAAGCTTATAAGGGTAAGGGATAAAGTCTTCGCCGTTGATCAATCCCTTTGTGGGATGCGGCACGCATTCTACTTCCATTCAGAATCGTAGTGGCTTATTGAATGCGATGTGGCCAGCCGATGTACAAGTCAGTGTTTTATCCTCCCAGACGAATCTGGTACCAATTTACCGTCGGAGGGTAGAAGGCTTGGTTGGCCTGGGCGGGTGTCGACCCGGGATTCGAACCCGGCGCCGCGCGAGTGGTAAGCGCCACTTGTCATCCACCCCCGCCTCATGCAAGCTTATATACATGTTATAAAGGCATCGCCGCACTCAGCTCGTTATTGGTTACCTACTTCGGCTGTCCGGTCCCCCACGACCTTAGTTCTTCTTGAGGCATTATCTTTCGAATCATTGTTATTGCGCAATGCTCGATAATGGCCACCATTTTTGCAGAACAAGTATCTGAGGGTATGCTTTTCATTAGTTCACAGTACCGCGCTGACTCTCGGCCCGCTGCAGTTATTCTGGTCACGATTTGGCCCCAAACAGTATTGACACATATTTTCTCTCCGAATGTATTAACAAAGTTTATGGCGGACAAGGGTCAGAATAATGTCGCCGTTTACAGGAAGCACAAGTAATATGCTATCATGCCCACCTCCCTCGCCGATTTTTTCTGGTGATAGCAAAAATCCTCCCTTGCACTATTCGTCTCATTCGTTCTTCCAGCTCTAACATCTTGGCGTCAACGTTGCCTTCCTTGTGCCCATAAACATGGTTTTTGTCACTCTTTAGCGACACTTTTTCTCTCTCTTGTTTCAGGCGCTCTTTTTGTTTTCGTTCGTGTTTTCTGCGCTTGCACTCTCAGGTAGTGTTCTTCACTTTCTTGTCTTTGCTGCTTGTTGTGTCTCGTAGAGAATCTGGGCCTGTTCATTGGCCGACTATAATTCAGGGGCTTCTTGTATTATTCTGTGACCACTCCCTTTTCTGGGTTAAGCCGATATTAGCACTGAAGAACCTCTTCTTTATCCTTTCCGCGACGTTCCCGAAAGGTTTTTGAAGTTGGCAATATCCTCACCTCTTCTGCGGAGATCATTCTTCTGCTCGGCTCAGCTCTACTTCGATATCGGAAATCGAGCATTCTCACCTCAACTTGAGCTTCATCGGGTAATCCCTTGGATTTGATAAGGAGTGACGGCATGAAAGGGTCTTCGACTAGTAATGACTGATCGTACTTTCCTTCTGCTAGAGAGGACTGTCACGCAGTGATCTCTTGAGAAGACAACGTCGAACTTGGGTAGTCAAATCTTATCCTGATATACCAAAGCTTAGAACCTTAGGAAAAAAATATACACATCAAATGTCAACATTGTGAACAATCGAGCATCGCAAAATATGTAAGCAAGAGGCAAGTGAATGGGCGAGCAGAACAAGTATAAGGAGGAGGTAATAACGCACAGGCTGAAATAGGTAAAGTAGGGAGTTCATCAGGGCTGAGCAGCCATTAGAATCACGTACGGGAAAGCGGAGCCACCGAATATAGTGTGAATCAAAACTAGAGTAATCAAGTAGAAATAAGGGCTAAGCCAGAAGATCACTAGGAGAATATGAAGAGAAGCGTCGAGTGGAAAAAAATGATTGCGGTAATGCTGAAAACGCTGACGAGCTGATGGATTTCACAGCTGCGCCATCTACTCCACCGTTTTTCCCGTCACTGCTCTGACTTCTTCTTATAACATTTGCATTTCTTCAATTGCTCATCGATCTCCCATGGACCAAGATACAATGAACCATAGAGAATCGAGGAGAAATAATTAACTAAATAAGCTAGAAGGTTCAAGGCAAGTTAAGGAAACTTTCTTATTGTTGAGGACGACTTTGACTTGCCACTGTAATCATCATGTTTTTAAAGCTTTCCTTCCAATTAGAAGTGGCGATCAGTGAGATCATTTAGAAGTGACGCTCAGTGCGAATGTGGAAACGTGCCACGATTTCCATTGATTTCCCGTCATCTGGTATGTGTTATGTGGTAGGTATGTGTGGATAAGCTGACTCAAAGCTTCCGACCAAACTCAATAAAACCAGCAGTGCGATGCATTTCTTCAAGCTCAAGACTGTTCTTCTATTCATTTGGATCGGATCTGAAGCTTCGTGAGGGTTCGCTTCATGGCCGTGCACTTCACAAAAAAGCTTCAGCAGCTCTGATTTCTGGACCGAGCGCAAAAGTAGAGGCTGCCAAAGACGCTCGATTTTTGTTGACTCGACACTTCACTTCAGTCAGTCAGTTACAAAGCTATAGGAGTTATTCACCGAAAGGTATCGGCAATATAATTCATCTTGCCACCAGCTGAATAAGTTCACATACTGTACGCAAGTGAAACATGCCAAGATTATTCGAAAGTCGTACATGGATAGTACAATTCATCTTCAATGCTAAATTTCTGGTCAAAAAACGCCGTTCCAAAAATGCGAGCCAGCCGCAATGTTTTTTGGCAACCTGTGGGGCACTAAATGAGGCCAGTCAGAAGCTCATATGCTTCAGAATTTCGAGTTCTTACGAGAGTGCTGCAATAAAATCTTAATATGGCATTTAAGTTCTTTTTTGAGTGTAATGCTTCCTCAATGAAAATGTCGAAATTAGCCCCTACACCAGCTCCTAAAAGCTTATTATTGCGATCTCTCCGATTGTTGCACGTACTATTCGGAGCCCCTGTTAACCACTTACGACGACGTCTCACTTCCTCTCTAGGACCTGTTGTCACAAATACACTTTGACTTATGTTAGTAGCCAACTCTTCAAAAAGTCAGTGCCATTCATAGTGAATCTAAGCACATTTTTTGATTGTTATTTCTTATAAATAGACGTGATCGAGGGTATATGACAAGAGAATCGTAATTTGCCACGCTGGGCAGTGCGGCGAGGGCGCCGCGCCGTAAGAGACGAGTTCTCCCGATAGCCACTCGAATTCCAATATTAAAGGGACGGGAGAGGGTGTTTCTACTCACAGTAAGGATGCTGAAGTGTTGTAATGCTCCATATCGTCGGCTATGACAGAAGTAGACGGTGTAGAAAATGGCCGATAGGGTGAAATATGTGCGGAAATAAGGAAAAAATAAAAAATACGCAACCATTCCCACAAGTTTCGCTGCTCAAATCGAGAAACTGACGCGCAGTTCAAATTTCCCGCGCCCATCGCCGCGTGACACCCACAATGAAAATTTTCCATGCTCAACACCAGACGGTGCGCTGCGCGCGCAGCGCGGCACGTCACGATTCTCTTGTCCGTCTCCCGTGGCCGAGGCAGGGTGTAGGTTGGCATACTTATGTCGCCGCAATGCACGCAAACTAAATGATATTTTGTAACTAGTTGACTGAAGATAGTTTAGTTCTTCATATAAAATAGTTTAGTTCTTCATGAAAAAAAACCCTTCAAAAGAATAGCTCTTGCAAAATCGCCCCATTTCCAACACAGCTTTGACCGCGTTCTCAAGAGTTGTATCTCCCGACCTGCGCCTCCGAGAGTGGCTTCAGGTGAAACGTTTAGCCTCAATAATTGCGTGAATTCCAGGTGCTTCTGTCAGCATGGACCTCGAGAATGTGAAAAGAATGCTCTTCAAGCGTGTGTGGTGTCGTATCTACCTGATACCGATGACCATATTGAACTGGGTAGGTCAGAACTCTGAATTAACCAGGAAGAGGTCCAATACCAGCTGTTCCTTTCAGTGAATTGTATCCAAGGAGGTGCCGCTTTCAATGACTCCGTGGCTTCGTGCATCAACAACAGAGCCTTGAAATCTCGTACAACGAGCGATCAGTTAGTTCACCTGTGCAGTTACACCGTTTAGAGTTCACCAGTCTGGCTGACGCGCACTACTGCGCGCATGGTTAAACCCATGGTACTACGATAACTGACAGGATTTCTGTCCTGAGCACTAACACTTATGGTTAGCCTAATTCCCATGTCCCATGTATCCTGCCACAGAGCCAATAATGGTCCCATCCTGCACACTATCTTGCCTCTTGGAACCGACGTCCCGTTGTGCTGGTCGACGTTGTGAGTTAGGTGTCCCTACCCTTCTAAGGCTCCTTATGGTATCTTATCAGCTGTTATCAATTCCTGCCACCCACCAATAATGTTCCCATCCTGCCCCCTATCTTACTACTTGTATCCAACGTCCGGTCG